AGGTCTCCGTTCTGGCTGAGATAGCAACTCATCACAAATCCTGCTGGGAGACGCAGCTGGGAATAACCCCAGCTTTGCGGTTCGGCACCGGCCGGCCGCAGCCGAGTTGGCATGACAACCTCGGCGAAAAGGCAGTTCTGAAGCTGAGCTAACATCTCCGGGCGCCTGCTCGGCCGGGGAGACGCAACGGGGCAGGCAGAGGGGACCGGCACCGCGGGCACCCGGGGCACCGGCCCTTGATGCTGCCCATTAGGCTGCATCTTCTCTCTGCTCTCTCCCCAGGCGCGCTAATGAAAAAGAATTTGCCTTAACTAAAAATAGCTTTCCCAGCGCATGAAAGGACCTCTCGGTCTCCCGCTGGATTACTGTTTAGTTTGACAGATCGCTCATTCAACAGCTAGCAGCCGTTATGTTTGCAGACAACACTGGGTTTTTTGGCTGCTGTCTTTAACGTGTCACTAATGTTTAGCCAAATGAACTCAGAGGATTATAACAGACAGGGACACTGGGGAAAGTGACAGGCGCAGGGAAAAGTGCTGTGAGAAGCTAATTTACACAAGGAGCTTCCCAGCCCGAGCCTTCCTGCTCAATAAGCTCCTCAGCCGCCTCCTTGCAGCCGCCAGCAGCTCTCGGGGAAGCGGGTTGCTCAGGAGCCTCCTCCTCCTCGCCCGCCTGCTTAGACAGCAGAGCCCAGTAAAAAACACTCTCTCATGTTGTTGCAAATAAGCCCTATTTCCTATGGGAATGTGAATGCGGTATCAACCCGCGCTGCCCCGCGCTCCCCGCTCCCGCTCGCCTCCGCGGCTGCAAGCGGCACGGGCGTTCGCGCAGGAAACGGCTGCGCTGTCTCAGGAGGGAGAACGCGACGGCATCTGCTGCTGCGAGGGCTGCGTTACGGCAGGAGGGAGCCTGGGGCGACGGCAACGCAGCAGCTCTGCCAAGGGCCTCCCGTAACCTCGGCCTGTGTCACCTGCAGCTCCCCGCGGTGCGCCGGGCAGCTTCGCTCTGCTCTCGTGTCACGAAGGACAAGGAGCATGCTCTTGTGGAAACTATATATTAAATTTTCCCCAAACTACATTACTCATACAATTTTCAGTTCCCAGGGACATTAAAACAACAAAGACATTTCCCCACAGCAGAACCACTGCTCCTCAGCCCGTTCCAGTCCCGCTATGTTCATGAGACAGAGCAGAAGCTTTTGCTGTACAGTGAAAACGATCATTTGCATCCTGCAAGCAATGGCAGAGCGAGCACGGGGGCAGCCACAGTGCTGGGAGGAAAGAGGCAGATATCACTGTGAGGATGGCAAAAAGAAGAGCCGAGGTCAGGGGCACCCTGCGGGGTACAGCCTAGGCTTGTGCTGGAAGGAGAAAAACTTTTCAAAAGAATGGCATGTTCTTTGCCATAAAATTCTAGCATGCTGTGTCCCCTTAGGAAATGCAACTTGAGCGTACCAATAAATGAAAGAGGAAAATGCCACGGAAGGCAGTAAATCAAGAAGTAATTGATTAGAATACTTAGACAACTTAATTTCCGCTGCAGAAAGCGAGCCGGTGGCGTACGGCAGGGGAGCGGCGCGGGCCCGCGCCCGCCGCGGAGGACGAGGAGGCGGCGGCGACCCGGACGGCGAGCCCGGTAGGACGGGGCGGGCAGGGCTCGAGCGCCCTCGCCTGTGTTTACACCGCTCTGTGCAACACGCGGGTGCGGGAACGGGGCAAACCCGCTGTTGCTGTGAGACAGGAGCCGGTTTGTAACATCCCCGAGAAAACAGCGAGGTGCGGGCCGGCCGCGGGCCGCGCTAGATTCTCCGCGGGGGAGCGGGGCAGGTGAGGGGAAAGGATCATGAACTACGTGTTTCGGCTTGCTGTGTCCCGGGTGCCCCTTTCCTTTCCTTCTCCCATTTTACATACCTTTTATAATGACGAATCCTGTAGTGACCTAGCTCGAGATAAAGCTGCAGCTCCTTGAAAAAAAATTAGTCCCTCGCTTTGCGGGCTTTGCAGGTTTTGAGGCCACCTGGAACTCGTGTTGCCTGCTGGGTTTTTCTTGCTTATTTGAAGCCTTAATGTCTTTATATTTTCTTTCTCTTTCTTTCCTTTGTGTTGTGGCAGTCTTCCTCACGCAAAGCTCCTGAGAGGCGGCCCTCGAAGCGGCGCAGGGCAGGGAAAGGCAGCGCCGTGAAGGCGGCAGGAGGCCGGAGCTCCCAGCCCCTGCCGCTGGAGCGCTTCTTCGGAAACGTCGAGTTCCTGCAGGTAAGGCGGTGCAGCGCGCGCCCAGGCCCATGGAGGACCGTTCCACAGCGCTTCTGCCTCGTCTCCCAGGCCGCAGACCTTCAGGCAGGCTTGGCCGGTGCTGACGGTCATCTAGAGAAGTGTCTGTCTCCTGGACACGCAGACTGACCCCAGCCAGAGATGAAATTACTTGCCTGGCCAACTCCATTTCAGAAGCAAAGTCTTTCCTGTTCACATTTAATTATTCTACAGGATAAATATTTTTACTCATAAAGATAGCTGAATTATGGAGACCTTATGCACTAAGGTAGTTTTTCACTGGCCACTGGCTCTTAATTGTGGTTACTTCAACACTTTGGAGTAGAAACCAGTTTCTGAGTGGCTGTGCTTTTGGACAGGTCAGTGACAGAATGAGAAATTCAAGTCCCAGGTCTATCAGTTCTGAGGTCTGTGTTAATAATTAGTGTATTGGGTGTAGGAGAATGGTACGGATTGGACATGTAAGACTGTTGTTTGCAGCAATTGGTTTTTTTTCTTATTTTTTTAAATCCTTTTTCTTCAAGGACCTCCCAGCAGCTGCACTTGGAAGCACAACAATGAGCAGACGAGAATTTAGAAAGCTGCATTTCATTGCAAAGGAAGACGAAGAAGAAGATGTCATCTAGCCACAAAATGTAAAATAAAGCTATTTTTTTAAGGATTTTTATGCTGTTATGTTGGTTAGTGAAATGTAATGGTTGGCTGTGTCACTGCCCTGATGCATCTATATTTGCCTTTTCTCAGGGGGAGAACTGGTAGGGTTTATTTCTATGAGCTTGTCAAATGCACTACTCTCCCATGGTTATTTGGGGGTCAGGGGAGGGAGAATTTCAGGGGAGAGAGAATTTTACTGATTTTTTTTTTTTGAGAATTGGAAATAAGTTGTAGTTTATTACTAGAAAAGTATGAGAAATGGACATTTGGTTTACTCTGCTGCAATTCTGAGCCAATACCTATAATGTTCTCACTGCTCTTTTAAAAACTAAACAAGCAAGCAGTCTAGGAGCATGAATAGTCATTTTCCTTATAATTGTGATTTTTGGGGGGTGAGGGGGCATCTAATTAGCAATTTACCTAGCAGGCTACCAATACGAGGAAGGGTACCAGCCTCTGCTTCTTATGTTTACTGTTGCATGGTTTACTTACAAAATGAAAGCAATTCAGAGCTTTAAAATGCAGTTCTGTTGCCAAAGCTAAATGCACATGTCAGTGTGAATTCAGTATTTTTGGTTTCAAGATGATAAATTTTTATTGCATGTCAATTTTCTGAACCACCACCCGTGAATCCCATTGCTTCCCTCTTCCATCAAATCAAGTGAAAAATTGTCATTTTAAATATTTGTGCAATTCAACTTGTGCAGTATTGCCTTCAACTGATTTCCAAGGGTTTTGAATAGTTTTTTTTTTTTTTTTTTTTTTTGAGAAGATGGTCATCAGTGGTGATAAAAGGAGGAATCTCTGCACATAGCACTTTTTTTGGTTGGTGAGTGAGGATCGATTGTTAAGGATAAGCTCAGTACTCCAGATTTATTCTTTTTGATGGTGTTTTTGGAAAGTAAAAAGGAACCTCCGAGATTTCAGGAACAGCTTGTTCATGCCATGTTTATGGTAATAGTTCTTTGAAAGTGGGATTATGCAATAAGCCTCCACAACTTTATGTTTTTATTCTAAGTAGTTTTCCCTTCATTTGTAAAAAGCAAATGTAATCAGCAGATGGTTTAAGTAAATATTAATTTCCACAGCTATAGCCTGTTAAGCAATCATATTAAAATTGCATGCCAAACAAATTGTATATGCATGACATGTTAATTCACTCACATTGCTATTCAGCTGATACATTGCTTCTATCAGTGATATTTCTTGGCCCCTTTTCCATCTACTTCAGTAATACACAAAGATTTAATTTAATATTGCTCTCATGGTTTTCAGTACAGCTCCACTGCAATGTAGTCCTTCCAACTTTTCTCAAACTAGGTTTATTCACAATTTCCTCTTTCTGCTAAATTAGCTTTTACATGTAGGTCTTCATCTTAGTTTTAGCACCGTACGGAATGGTGATTGTCAGTGTGTGTGTGCGCCCAGTTGATCACATGGTATTTGTCATCAGAATCTTCGCTGTGGTGGCTTCTGGAATGTCAAAACAGCAAATAGTGCATTTCTGCCTTAATTTCAGGTGATGTGCATGTTTGGAAGAGGAAGAGTGAACTCAACACAGTGCTGTTTGTTTAGAAATGCTGCATTAGAAGTGCACTAATTTTGTTTTAGTTTTGAAAAGCTTTGGAGGGAGGTAGAGTTTGTTGTTTGCTTTTCAAGTAACTTACTGTTCTCTGTACTCTCTAGAGCAAAACTGCATTCCCAAGACTCACACAGCAATATGATCTTAATACAATTTTAACTGGACTAGCTGAATTTACATGGCCAAGAAGGAAGACCATTTCCTTACAGAGGAGCCAAGTGTGTTCACTGCAAAGAGGTATCTAGTGACGCACTCAAACGCCTTTCCCTAAGCTCATTCTTTTTAGTCTCATTAGTTTTAGTCTTAGGGATTTCAGTCTCATATGTTTTACTAACTTCTCAGATACCTTTGTCTTCATATACACAGGTAGAAAGATACCCATGATTCTTTTTTATTAAGAAAATACAAATATTGCTTATGCTGACATCCCTGAGAATTCAGTTGCTATCTGATGATATTTTAAAAAATAAATAATGAAAAAATGATATATTTTGTTTCATGAGAGGCAGAGAGCCTGTTTCAGAAGCCATAAATATTCTAAAGCAGGACATCAATGTGATGCTTTCCCAGTAACACTGCATGTCTTGCTTCAAGCAAACTCAAGCTAAAAAGGCAGAAATTGTCTGAAAGGAGAGGAAATCAATGGGCAGGATGACAAATTGAAAACATCATAAAAGCAAAGACGGCTTTGCTGCTCCTTCTAGAAAGCGTGCATGTAACTAATAGCAAATGGAACTGTTGGGTAAGAGCAGCTCTTCTCATACGAAGGGCCCGCGGCTCTGTCACTGAATCAGCGTTTGGCTCGTTTGAGACACGGTGGCTGCCGACCTGCCAGGAGGTGCAGAGCACGGTCGTTATCCTGTCCTCTGTTTGCCTTCATGTTTCAAGGAGTCTATTTTTTTAGTATGATTTATAGCTGTACTTTACCACACTTAATGTAACGTGATCTAAGCAAGGCCTGTGGTAAGCAGAAAGCAGGAGAGCTGCCTTAGACGTGATCCAAGTGTACGCTCTGTGAGACTGCAATTGAATCACCTGGGGTCCTTAGCAAAAGAGACCCGCTAAATATGGTTTTGTTTAAGAAAGTAGAGCTATTTAAAAATGATCTCATTACATGATTTTGGAAAAAAATCAGAAGTCTCTTTTGGTGTGGTGCTAGGAAATCTCGGTTTGCTTCCTTTTCCTGTAAATTTTAGTTTTGTCACAGCTAAGATTATGACTGGTTTTCTTATGGCAAGCAATGTGTACAAGTTTTAGATTATCCAAGGTAAACAACAGCTGATAGAAGTATTCCCAGTTCACTTCTCTTCCATCCCGTGCTTTGACAGCTTCTGCCAGTTCTGGGACAACAGTTCTTTTCTTCTCTATTCTGCAATGAATAATGTGGGGTAGAAATTATTATATTTTTTCATAATGACATTTGCATCCTGCTCTAAAAGCAGGATGGAGATCGAATTCTTTTGCCATGAGTGGTTTAGCACAGCTTGTCTGCTTTAGAAGTACACACTGCCTGAAAAATGGGTCAGAAGTATTTGTATTTGTATGCAGAGCAAATCTGAACACGAGCAAAGCAGCTAATGAGAGACTGCGTTATAATCTGTCTTCAGGGTTTGATGTTGCCAAACACTGTTGCACCTGAGCATCTTTTACAGCAATGTTTCACAGTGGAGCTCAGTGTATGATGGGGACAAGGAAGGGGGAAAGCCTCAATGGCATCATCTGTGCTAGTTAACAGGTAAGTCGGCACTAATATTTCATACGTACATATGGTCGAGATTCCAGGTACTGAAGAGGATTCTGCTTTCCCTGTTACTGTAGGGGTTGATGGAGTGCTTACAGGGGCAGAAATCTCTGTCAAAAGGCCCCTAAAAAACAAGATGAACGCAACGAAGGGGGTACTGCGGCTCAGCCTAGCTCCGTCCTACCCCAGTCTTGACAAAGCTTTCGTTTGCTGTAACCAGAAATAAATCACGTGAGCTGATAACGCTGAACTTGATCGATACCTCACTACGCAAGCATCAGATTATCTCCTTCCTCCAATACCGTCATTGTAAATCACGCCTCTGCTTGTTGCAGTCAGTCAAGGCTCTGCTTTAGAGAGGGCCGGACTTACTTGGCAGGAGAACCATCCCTCTACAGTGCAGAGGCGAGCTGCCTCCTCCTCCTCTCGCCTGTCGAAGTAGCACCCGTTGTATTTCACAGATTTCAGTTTATCCAGCATAAGGTCAACTATCTTTTTATATGCATCTCTTGCTGTCGGATGAACGTTCGAAATAAAGCCATTAACCTTAAAACGAACAAACCAAAGTCATTCATTGGTGCTCATGGAAGGTTGAGGCTTTTCTTCTACAGCAAACATGTTGCACTATTGAAGCATTTTTTGATACATGTGATTGTTGAATTATTTTTACTAGCAGCTTAGAAATGTTACTTTATCTGAAACTTTCACCTCTTTCATGTAGCTTCGTATTCGGTTTTCACAGCTGTATCGCATGTAGCTTGATTTAGTCTTAAAACGAGACTCCAGACCTAAAGAGAGTTATTTTGTAACGGTGCACACGGTACTGTTAAATCTGTGCAGAAGCACCGAATTAGCCCTTCTTTTCACAAAACCCAGTATACACGTCTGTCTTTTTCTTTCCCGTTTTTATTTTATGGATCCAAGACTATCCCGCTCGTGCACAGACTGCTTGAGAGCTCTAATGGATACCTAACCCTTAGTGGTTCTTATTAACGCACATTCACAGAGAATGTGAAAAGACCACCAGCTAAAAGCTGAGTTCAGGAAGAACTGCAGAGCTCGGCATGGCCTGGGAAGCGGAAGGTGAACTCACAAGGAAAACTTTACGAGCAAACAGGGAAGGCTTGGCTGGCTGCTGTATACAGGTTATGGACGTGTTGTTAGTGGGTGTATGCCCAGCTCCACTCTGTGTTAGTGGGGCAAATCTCCCAAATGTGCGTGTTACAGAACAGGGGGTGAGGCAAGGCAGGGCGCAGGGTGGCTCTGTTCCTGCTAGGGGAATGGACATACCTATAGGGGACAGGCAGGGCACGGACTCGGTGAGCGTGGCAGGGAGCCCTGC